AGGGGTCTCGGACGTAATTGTTGAGACATAAGATGCCCAACATTCACGTTTAGCCGTAAGGATGGCCCTACGGGCCACCGCACTCGCTTTCCGAAAGAAAAGAAAAGAATCGGTCGTCTGCCTACGGCGGTGCCTCTTCCAGGCTGCACGCGTACAGCGGACAGCTCGAGCACAGTCCGCATTCCACCAGGGAACGCACTTCCGTGGACCCCGAGAGGAAGAGCGAGGAATAGAGCGGAGGGCAGCGTTGAAGACAGTGTCATGAAAAAGGAGGAGAGCGCGAGAGAGAGGCAGAAGGGAGAGGTCAGGGAGAGCAGCACTGAGGGTAAATAGGGTCCAGTCTGCCTTAGCAAACTGCCACCTAGGGAAAGAGAGGGAAGGGCGAAAAGAGAAAAAGGAAACAAGGATGGGGAAATGATCACTTCCATGGAGGTCATCAAGAACCTGCCACGTGAAATCTAAGTAAAGAGAAGAAGAGCAGAGAGAAAGATCAAGACAAGAAAGGGTGCGAGTCCGAGAGTCCAAATGAGTGGGCTCACCAGAATTCAGAAGAGACAGGGAAGAAGAGAGGAGAAACGGCTCAAGGAGGCGACCCCGGGTATTCGTCAGAACGTCACCCCAAAGAGAATGACGACAATTGAAGTCACCCAGCAGGAGCACAGGCTCCGGCAAGGAGTCCAGGAGGTGTTTCAAATCAGGAAGAGAGAGCGGGACACTCGGGGGGAGATAAATGGAACAAACTGTGTACCATTTCCCCACAAAGATACGAGCAGCAGAACAATGGAGAGGCGAAGGAAAAAGTAAAGGAACAAAGGGAACATCAGCCCGAATCAAAAGAGCAGAAGAATTAGAAGCCCCAGCAATGGCTGGGGGGGGGAGAGAAAGGAATAGCCACGAAAACGACCAGGACGAGCACCAAGCATTGGCTCCTGGAGACAGACACAAAGGGGCGAAAACCGCGAAATCAGAAGTTGGAGTTCGAGGAAATTGGCGTAATAACCTCGAACGTTCCATTGAAGAATGGCCAACGACGAGAAGAGAAAGGACAAAAACAGAGAACAAGGAAGAAACAAAGGCGAAAGACCAACAGAGCACGTTAAAGAATATCAGGGTCGGGATCAGGGTCAGCAAAGTCAGGGTTAGGGGGCATGGGTAAACTGAGCAAAGACGGAGGGAAGGAAACGGGAGAACAGAGCAGAGGTGGGCGGGCAGGGTCTGGAGGAGGAGGAGGAAGAGGAGGAGACAACGGAGAGGAGCCGTCAAGGACAGCAGCAGGAGGAGGGGGAGTAGAAAGAGGGGAGCGCACCCCAGCAAGAGCAGCAACCGAAAGGGAAGCAGGGGCCAAAGAAACCTCCATAGCAGGAACAGGGGGCGCAAGCACTGAAACGGGAGGGGAAGGAGCAACAGAGCCAGAAGGAGGAGCTGAGGAAGAAAGCGAAGCCTTCTTACCCGCCAGGGAAGAGGAAGGAGAGGAGCCAGGCTTACGCTTCTGACTTAAAGAGACCGGTGTCCCAGCAACTACGTACCGGGCAACGGATTCCAGTGTCTCAACAGGAGAAGCCGAACGAGAGCACACACGACGGCCGTTAGGAGAGCGATGGACATCCGCCCGCACCGACAGGCGGTGGGGAGAGCCAATAGATGGAGGAAGAGGATGGGAAGGAGGATCGGAGGGGGACGAGGAAGAAGACACAGAAGACACGACAGACCGGGTAGAAGGAAGGGGAACCCCAGACAGAGGACCAGGAGGAGGATCCTTCGGGAGAGAACCCTAAGGAACAGAGGAGGGGGCAGTGGGCGCATCAGGGTCCAAGGCCCGGAAACGGTTGTGAGTCTGAGGAAGGCGGGAAGGACGAGGAGAGGAAGAGCGCAACACGCGAGCATAAGAGATATTAGCATAAGGCGGGAGCCGGCGAACCTGGCGCCTCGCCTCAGGAAAAGATAAACACTCCCGGTGCTTCAGGTTGAGGACGGCTGCCTCAAGCTTGTAATGGACACACGCACGGGAGAAGGTAGGATGGGCCTCACCGCAGTTGAGGCAACGAGCCTGGGGAGAAGTGCACTCCGACTTAGAGTGACCTTCGCCACCACACAAAGGACAGAGAGAGACAGTCCCGGAGCAGCGGAGGGCACCATGCCCAAACCTCCAGCACTTGTTGCAGAGCCGAGGAGAAGGAATGTACTCCTGGACAGAGCACCTGGCACCAGCAAGAATGACAGAGGGTGGAAGGGTCCTACCATCAAAGGTAATCTTCACAACCCGGAGGGGTTGACGGCGACTACCACGAGGGGGACGAGTAAACGTGTCCACCTGGAGAATAGAATGGCCCTGGGCAGCGAGGATATGGCGAATATCGTCGTGGCAGTCGCGCAGGTCCCGAACACCGGTTGCAACATGGGGCGGGAGCAAAATAGTGCCAACACTGGCATTCAATTGAGCGTTCTTCGAGACCCGAACGGGGGTCTCGCCAAGGCAGGATAAGGCAGCCAAGCGGGAAGCAGCATCCTGAGAAGGAGCAGCAACGACACGTGTACCGAGACGAGTGGGGTTGAAAGTAATGGAGGCATCCACGGAATCAATGAGATGTCGATGAAGGGAGAAATCGTCAGGAGGCGCAGAATCAAGAGGGAGGAGATCAAAATATTTGGCCCACGAAGCGGGACCAAACAAGGCTTGATAGGTAGCAGAACTGGAAGGAATCGAGCGAGGGCGGCCGTGACGAGGACGGCGGTGAGAACCCCCAGAGAGAGAGGGGTTAAAAGGCGCAGTAGTTACAACTAGAGAAGGAGCCGCGCCAGGGGACGAGGTAGTCACCACTGGGGGCTTGGGGCTCGACCCAACCACAGAGGAGGGAGGGGAGCCAGGGGAAGGAGTCAGAGAGGCCAAAGGAGGAGCAAGGTCGGGGCCCAATGCAGCGGAGGCTACAGAGCCCGGTCTTCCAATACGGACCGACTCGGGGGCTTGGTCGCCCACCCCACGAGCCTGAAAAGGTAAGCCAGAAGCAGCCGAAACAGGGGTTATCATCTTGACGAAATTAAGAATTCACTCACGAATGTGCCCCCACACCCACCATGGAGCCACAATTAGAGGCAGGACACCCAACAAGAAGCTATCGCCGATCTTGTCGGGGCCTCCTAGGGGTGCGTCGTGAGTATACGCCCCACAAACGCCACCTTAAGAAACCGACAGTCCGTCGAGATCGGGTTCAGTGACGAAGTGGGGATTGACAATAAAAGGTTCCCCTCGCTCTCGATGTCGGGTACTGCAGTTCTACGGGTGCATGAGTATGCCTCCTCAAGCACCCGGGCGTCAAAATAGAAGTAGTCCATGGAAGAACCAGAACGAGCAAAAGGTCGGCAGGAAACGGCAAGCAGATAGGAGAAGAGGGGGGAGAAAAACGAAACAGAAGGAAAAGGAAAAGGTGCCCAGCAGAATTGGAGAGGACGGCAGCAGGAGCACAAGGCTAGAAAAGGACAGAGGACTGTCCTAAGGAGCATCACACTCCAGCAGCCGCCCACGAAGCCCCCACACGGCGACAACGAGCTGAGCGGGGAGGGGGACATTGCCAACAAACCGACTGCTATAACCACGACTAGACTAAATAAATATAAAAAACTAAACTCTTTGTTTCTAATTAACCAGATATGTACACATAATCATAAATTACAGCCTTAACTTTACTTGTGCCTTTCCTTGGGTATAGTGGTATGAAAATGAATTGGGATCACCTTATAATTACCTAAGTGTACTTACAGGGTGAGAGCTATGCTCCTGGTGTCCCGTTCTCCCGTTACTCTTTGTCGTATAACGGTTTGAAACTACTAACGGTTTTGGCCTCCACCACCACCTCACTTAACTTGTTTCAACCGTCTACCACTGTTTGCAAAAGAAAGCTTTCTATTATTTTTTCAGCACCTTTGTTTCCTTAGCTTGAATCTGTGTCCTCTTGTTCATGAAGTAGCTGGTTTCAGGAATTCCTCTCTCAATTTGGTCGATTCATGTGAGTAATTTGTAAGTGGTGATCATATCTCTTTTTCTTCTTTCTTCTAATTTGGTTTCACACGTCATGAACAGTTTCTTTAGGATTTCACCATCCATATATTATTAAAAGTAAGTCTGACAAGTCTGGTGCACTGTTTACACAGTCATTGCTGTCTCCTGTGGGTAGGTTATCTTGAGATGATTTCGGGGCTTTAGTGTCCCCGCGGCCCGGTCCTCGACCAGGCCTCCACCCCCAGGAAGCAGCCCGTGACAGCTGACTAACACCCAGGTACCTATTTTACTGCTAGGTAACAGGAGCATAGAGTGAAAGAAACTCTGCCCAATGTTTCTTGCCGGCGCCTGGGATCGAACCCTGGACCACAGGATCACAAGTCCAGCGTGCTGTCCGCTCGGCCGACCGGCTCCCCTAAGGGTAGATGGGAGTGGTGAGCTGGCAGTCAACTAGCTGTTGGCAACAGTAACAGAGCAATACGTGGCAGTGTCTTTCAATGACCTTTCTGTGTTTGTTTAGAAGTAGAATGGGAATTCGTCTTCCTCTTCCCATTTTTGGTCCTGCATTTCTTATATACTTCTTAAATTATCCCAACTGTATTGGTGGTGATGAAAGTTGCTCTGAATCTGTCTAGAGTTAATCGAGTTTTGGGAGAGCAGGATTCTTGCCTGAAAAGGCAAATGAGTGTTTGGCCAGAAAATGGATTTCCATGAACATTCAAATTCTTACTTTTGGACGGTGGCTGTGGGTTGAGGATAGTAGGTAGGGTGCAGTATAATGGAGCAGAAGGAAAAGGAAATTTGAGGCCAAACTTGAAGGAAAGATTGAGTGTTCATAGGGTAAATAGGTGTTAATATGGAACATTGTAGGCAATTGATAGGCTAGGAATGCTTGGATATTGGTAGATGGTACAACTAAATAGATAGTGGCTGTAACTATTAATATATGTATTTCTTTGTATTTAAAATATCCTATAATGATATTTAATGTTAACTTTATCTGCAGGCAGATGAAGCGTTTCATATAGGCAGTGCAGCATCCCAGGAATCATATCTCCGTGGAGACAAAATCCTTGATGTGGTGAGACGAAGTGGTGCTCAGGCAGTGCACCCAGGCTATGGGTTTCTTTCTGAGAATGTGGAGTTTGCAGAGCAATGTGCACAGGAAGGTATAATATTTGTTGGTCCACCTGCTACTGCAATCAGAGACATGGGTATTAAAAGGTAAGGTTTTGAAATAGTAAATGCATGCTTTCTTGTCCAGTAATTTATGAACATACTTATATATGGTATATTCCTCAATGTCCTCATTACCCTGCTTGATGGGGTTCTGGGAGTTCTTCTACTACCCATGCCTGGCCCGAGGCCAGGCTTGACTTGTGAGAAAAGAAACAACCCTATTTCAAAGTTGTATGTATATCTCGGTATTTGGCATTAAATGCTATTTAATATTTATATTTTACAGTACATCAAAGATGATTATGTCGGAAGCATCTGTACCAGTGATCGGTGGGTACCATGGAGCTAACCAAAGTGATGGGCATTTACGCCAGGAAGCTGAAAAGATTGGATTTCCAGTTATGATCAAGGCTGTGCGTGGGGGTGGTGGCAAGGTAAGTGACAATTAATAGAGGGGGAGTCTGGTTCATGTTTCATCCTCCCTGTTTGGCTTCAGACTTATAAAGATCACTAATGATACTATAATATTAATTCTTGGCTTGATATGCTCATTTCTTGACAAAAATGAACACCAGATGGTTACTAGTCTGCTTGCTACCTAGTCAAATGTTCCTGGCCCTATTTGGTCATGTGTCGCATTGGGTTGGCGGTTGCAGCCAGTTGTCTCGACTTCAAGTTGAGGAGCGAGTGGCGACCGCCTCCAGGGTAAATTCCCCACGTGTTTTCTCTTTTGTTAAGTAGCTCCAGGGAGCCGAAGGGGCTTCCCCCAGAAAACCAACTTTGAATGTAATGAAACGCCATTTTCTGGGCAAGACCCGGAGGCTCCCCGGAATCCTCCCTCCCTCTGGTCGGCGGTTTTCGCGTGTTTTTGACATCCAGACTCAGAACTAGGGGAATCTCCGGAATAGCTCCGGGGAGCCTCTGAGTCTCACCCAGAAAATGGCGTTTCATTACATTTAACACTGGTTTTTTATCCAGAACTACCCCAGATCTTTCTTTATTGAATTCTTTAATCAGAATTTGTCAAACAGGTGCACAGTGCAGGATTTAAACTGATTTTTTGCATAATTTGTAGGTTATGTGTGGCCTATTTTCTCCTCTTCCACATTCCATAAGGAGACATTTATTCACATTAAGTTCCATTTGCCAAGTTCTGTATTATTTCTGGTAGAGCGTTTATGTAGACAACGAATATTACAGGTACAAGAACTGACCCCTGTGGTACTCTACTCATAACATTTGATAATAGGCCACACACAACTTAATTTGAAGGTTGCATATGGCCTATTATCTCTTATTCCATAACATGGTATTTATTGTATTTATTCACATAAAATTCCATTTGTGTGTAATTATCTAAGTGTAGTTACAGGATGAGAGCTATACTCGTGGTGTCTCGTCATCCCAGTATATTGTTGTATAATGCTTTGAAACTACTGACGGTTTTGGGCAACCCCACCTTCTCACTCAGCTTGTTCCAACCGTCTACCACTCTGCAAAAGAAAACATTCAAATATTTTTTCGGCATCTTTGTTTCCTTAGCTTGAATCTGTGTCCTCTTGTTCGTGAAGTTGCTGGTTTCAGGAATTCCTGTGCAGTGATGCTAAATATTTCTATATTCTTCAATAATATTATTCATAACCTGCTTCTTGAGTCATGGTATTGAGTCAGTGTATGTCTTACAGGGAATGCGCATTGCCATGAAACCAGAAGAATTTGAAGCACAACTTGAATCGGCAAGAAGAGAAGCAATTAAATCTTTTGGTGATGATGTCATGCTAATTGAAAAGTTTGTACAACGACCACGACATGTAGAGGTTCAGGTAGGAACTTGTGGTGTAAGTTTAAAAGTTAAAATTACAATATAGAAGATTTTTCTCCTAACTGGTATTTAACCTCTGTGCTGGGCTGCATTTATTGTGACATTCTAGTAGTGCACTGAAAATAAAGTGTTCCCAAAATTTTATCTTTGTAAAATGTTAATATCTCTTCCCAGAACATGTATATGTAAAAATACAAGAAAAAAAAAACTACTTTGGCTGTGGGGACATGGAGAAAGTGCGATGTGACGCACAGGCGCACAGCCCCTGATAATGTGATGCTCCCACAGGCGGTCGCGTGGGGCCACTCAAGACTTGCGAGTTGCCACAAATATATTTACATTTATTTTTTCAATGCATTTTCAATGCTTTATAATTTGTTTTTTTGTATCATATATGATGCACACTTGTGTCCTTTACAATATGTATACAGTAGAATGTTCATAATGTTCCAAAGAACTTCGATACATATCACTAATGTGTGCTCAACACATGTTCACATGTAATATGGTGCAATATTACCTGTTCAATATTCAATATATATTTACAATATGTACACTTTCACACACTGTATTACACACTCAGTACTTCAGGAGTGAGTGAGTAATCAAAGAAGCAGTCCATGGTACACCGCGCAAATTCGCTCTCGATGCACCAGTTACACACAGATTTTCACTACCTATTTCTTTTTTTTTGTGTGCTTGCAAATAACACACACATGTACACACTTGGCTTTAGTACCTGTAGGTGGTATATAGCTAAGCTTGTGAAGTGTAAAGTAGTCTTGAAAAGATTGCTTTGTAAGATATTCTGGAAGAGATTCAGGTATTCTGGAAGAGATATGGCAATTCTTGAAAACATCTAGGAAAAGCTCAATGTCAAAAAAAAGTCTTCCTATCAATTTTGTCGATTCCTGTTTCAATATTGTTTGTAGTGATTATTATCTCTGTCATTTATCCACTAGTTTTGACATGTCTAGCACCTCCAATCCTCCGTTTAATTCTTGTGTGTTAGGTCCAGTAGCCATTGAATAGCATGGTTTGGCTTTTTTCTTTTATTGATAATACGAATGTGTGTGCAAGTGTGTATAAGTGTCAGGTGTGTGTAATTATTATGTTTTTGTTAATCCTTAATTTTTTTAAATAGGCTTCAGGACTTTACTATCGAACTCATTTGATTGAGGAAATTTCATTTTGTTTATGAAGCGTTAAATCTTACTGTCGATGTGAATAAAAGTGCAGATATAATTAGTGGTTGACAGTTTATTAATACAGAATATTTCATCTCTCATTTTGATGTACTGTATATGTATCTTTTTCTTTATAGGTTTTCGGTGATCATCATGGTAACTATGTTTACCTGTTTGAAAGGGATTGTTCAGTTCAGCGCCGCCACCAGAAAATTATAGAAGAAGCCCCAGCTGTAAGTTTCAACTTAGTTCTATAAAATTCTTATTACTAGTATTGCACAAAGGACTCGATGGTTTCAAAATAACGTTTATGACAGATGCTGGATAACTGAAGCAGTGTGTGTATCAACATTCACTACCACCTACTTCCATACAGTTGCCTGGGATGGTCCCTCGGTAGATCCCAAAGCCAAGTGCAGGTGCAGCTATGCCATGGGAAGATGCAGCAGCTTCTGAGACCCACCCTCGTGCTAGGGCAAATATCTGGCATGCACTGTGAAGTGAGGGAAGCTTGGGGATCTGAGATCAATCCGAAACCAGGTGACAGGCAGGCAAGACAGCCTTGGTGACAGGTGGGTATGACAGCCCCATTGACAGGTAGGCAAGAGACCCCTGTAGACAGGCAGGCAAAACAGCCCAGGAGACACATGGGCATGATAGCCCTGGTGATAGGCTGGCAAGTCAGGCCCAAAGATAGGTAGGCAAGACAGTTGGGCTAACCTGGAAAGTTGGTAAAACCTGGAAATGCATCCGTGTGGTTGTGGCAAAATTGCCCCAGACACTGGTGAGAAGACAACCCCATTGACAGGTGGACAAGACATCTCCCAGTGACAGGCGGGCAAGACAGACTGAGATAGGCAAGAAAAACAGCCTTTGAGACAGGCAGGGAAGACAGGTGGGCCAAAGAGTAAGACCTGGAAATACATGTGTGTGGGATTCTAGTGGATCTGTACATAGACTGTACCAGCTCTCACTGCGACCACTGGTACAGTCTATGCTCTCTGATCTCAATTGTATGGGGACCACAACCCTTCAAGTTATCCAAACATTTGACTTAGTCAAATTTCTTATAAGGAATGTGAAAAAAAAAAGATAGTCACAATTTTTTTTTTTTTTTTTGGGGGGGGAGGGGTACAACAACCAACATACTGTATGTATTACTGTACTGTATTCACACCACATACAGTACATTTATATTTACTGTATGTATTTCCACATACAATAAATATAAATTTGCTTGGTTAGGGGAGAATGTTCATAGAATGTAATATTTTAATAACAATTAAACAATTTCAACTTGCCTTGGTGGAGTGTGTCTACTTGATTGATGAAGGACTTCAGTGCTGTTCATTTGCCTTCCTTGGATGGGGTTCTGGGAGTTGTTCTATTCCCCAATCCTGGCTCAAGGCCAGGCTTGACTTGTTTAAGCTTGGTCCAGCAGGCTGTTTCTTGGAGTGGCCCGCAGGCCCACATAGCCAATACAGTCCAGTTGATCCAGCACTTTTTGCAGAAAACTGTCTAGTTTTTTCTTGAAGATTTCCACTTTTGTCCTGGCAATATTTCTTGTACATGCTGGGAGTATATTGAACAACTTTGTGTCTTTGATATCCTTAGTTTTCTCTGATTGTGCCTGTGGCACCTTTGCTCTTCTCTTCAATGGCTCTCTTCTGCATTTCCTTCCATATCATTCACTCAAGTATGTTGTTATTTTACTGTGCTAGTTCGGGGCCTGGCCCTCCAGTATTTTCTTTGCATATATTATTTGATATCTCTCCTGTCTCCTTTTTAGAGAGTGTTTCGAGAGATTTAAGACGATTCCAATAATTTAGGTGCCATATATATATTCTCTATTCTCTCTATTTCAGCAATCTCTTTTTGCTTTGAAGGCAAAAAGTGAGTATTGAGCAGCACTCAAGATGGGATGGCACAAGTTACTTGAATAGTATGAGCATTGTGATGGGATCCCTGGATTTGAAGGTTCTTATAATCGATCCTATCATTTCTGTGGGGAGCCCCGCTGGCTTCTTTAAGCTATTCCAATGATACAATGCTATCCTATTTGGGGTCATCAGTCCCAGAGTTCTTGTTGCCTACCAGAGTCAGAACCTGGGGCCAGATTCACGAAGCAGTTACGCAAGCACTTACAAACCTGTCCATCTTTTCTCAATTTTTGTGGTTTTGTTTACAATTATTAAACAGTTCATGAGCTCCAAAACACCAGGAGGCTGTAAGTTCAGCCTCCTGGTTAAGTTCGTAAGTTCAGTAGAACTTCGGTTTCAACTCTTTTTTTTTTTTTTTTAACCCTGTCGTAGCTCAGTCGATTAAGGCAGTGTCTGGGATGCTCCCGGACGCAGGTTCGAATCCTCGTCACGGCCCTTGTGGATTTGTTCACCAGGAGGCTGTTTATAACAATAACATCAGTTGACTGGGCAGTTTTCATGCTTGTAAACTATTTAATAAATTTAACCATAGACGTCAAAAATTGAGTAAAGCTGTACACGTTCGTAAGTACTTGCGAATTTGCTTCGTGAATCTGGCCCCTGGCCTCCTAAGAGAGGTGCAGGGAGGAATGGTTTATGAACACTTTACATTTAAGTTATATCATACTTGCCATCGATCAGGGAAGGTACCCAGAAAGGAAGGCGAAAAAAACAGACCACTGTCTAGTTGAAAATTGCAACTTACTTTCTTAAAAGAGCGAAAGAACTGCTCCAGAAAGGAAACAAACAAGCAACACTTCATCCAACTAGTCCCCCGCTCATTAGTGCCACCCCCCTCCCTCGTGAAGGGAGGGAGGAGCCAGCCCAGGTCAGCCAAGCTACCCACCCTTCAGTTCTCAACTGATGTACTGGTGGTCGGATGTCGCCTCGTGCTATGATTTTCTGTTATGGGATTTTGCCTTGTATGTGACTGTTCCTGCACTTGAGGTGTGCGCTGGCCAGGAGTTCCTGTGTACCGGAGCTACATGCATCTAGGGACTCCTTTCTTAGGTGCTCCATGAGTACTGCCCTTGCGTTGTCAGGGTTATCTTCCCTGGGGCATTCGGAAATCACTCCCGTTAGAGGACTTCCTTGCTTGTGGTTGTCATTGCCCTTGGGGTGAGTCGGGGATCTTGGGCATTCCGAATTACCCCGGGTAGGGGAGTATTTGTTTGCTGGTGGGGTGCACTGCAGCTGGCTCAGTCTGCTTAACCACTGCACTGCGCAAAGCGCCTTTAGGCGCTCAGAGAGTTGTGCTTTTTGTTTTTTAATTTGGCTATATTTTAATGTTTTTTAATGTTTTCATTACTATTTGTGTTTTGAAATGGAAATAGTTGACTTTGGAAACATTTTGACATTAAATTTACCTGAACATTTGTAAAAATAATAAAAATATGTCCTTGTCAATTGCACCAAGACGTTTTTGCCGAAAATAGGTGAGCAGTGCAAGGGTTAATTAAGCTATCACGCAGTGGCCGACATTACTCTTCAACTGCTTGTTGGCAGTTGTGGAGTTTTGGGGGTTTTCTTGTGTTTTCTGTTTTGGTATGGCAGTTTTTACACGAGGGATGTTATAGCCTCACCTATTGAACAATAAGATTTTATATGGAAATTTTCTAGTGGCTGGTGGTATTAGAGCAACACACACATTTATAGAAGCGTACCCTAGGAGAGAACTCTATCAACATCAGAGGCCCGAGACTGTTCAACATGCTTCCGCTACACATAAGGGGCATAACTGGCCGACCCCTCACAGTGTTCAAGAGAGAACTTGACAAACACCTTCAAAGGATACCTGATCAACCAGGCTGTGACTCATACGTCAGGCTGAGAGCAGCAGCATCCAACAGCCTGGATGACCAGTCCAGCATCCAGGAGGCCTGGTCGACGACTGGGCCATGGGGTTGCTAAGCCCCGGAATCACCTCGAGGTAACCTCAAGGTAAGGTAGACTGATGGTCCTGATGGTGCTGTAAGTGCAGCACTGCACTTGCAGCACTGATGCCCATCTGGCAACATAGTGCATACCTACTGAACTGCATTGCTGGGGTGCAGAGATATTAACCCAGCTGGCGACCTTGTTAGATAGTATAAAACACAGGTGTGGATGAGAGACTTGCTATCCTTTTGTTATGGCAGGCAAGACTCAGAGGAAGTGCTTTTGAAGATAAGCCTGAGTCTTTCTTCACTCCTCCATGGGGCAAGGCTGGAATTGCTGCTAACAGTTTCCCCCATGGTTGACTGAAGGGCTACCCAGGGGTGAATCGGTGGCACCCAGGTGGTGGAAGCATAGACCTGCGGTAGTGGGCATTATGTGGTCCTTGCCTTTGGGATCAAATGACTCTGGTGAGTTATGAGTGTCAGAGAGACTGACTATTCTTTCTCCTGAACCCCCTAGCAGCCCCCTAGCTAGCAGAGCCCCAGCCCACCTCTTGTAACAAAACTGGCTCCAGTTTATTTTTTTCCTTCTGGTTTCGCAGAGGAGTTCAGCCAGGCTCCTTATCAGGCTACGCCTAGGGTGTGGTGGTGGCACTTTTCTGTTGCTCAGAGGCTTTACAACAGCTGCTTGTGGTCGGTTTGCCTGCATCGACAAGGTTTACCAGCTTAAATGGTCACAATGCCTGGGCTTCCTGTAGGACTTCTTGACCCTATGGGCCCTGGAAAACCCTGTGGGCTCGGTTGTACTATGGATACTTCTTCAGAGTCCACTCATGTCTTATGCAAAGTTGAGGGTTGCTAGTCACCCCTTCCTTAGAAAGACAATCAGCTGTATTGCTTCTGCTATGATGCCTGTTGGGTTGGGGACACCTATGACCCAGAGTCATTGAGGATTTGCTCCCTGCTTGTGCTTCAATTCACTCATCCCCTTCTGATAATTTGCGGGGTCAGGCAGCTGCCGTGTTGCCTGGGCGTTTTTCCTTGATACAACGGGCTAGGTTGGTTCGTTTGGAAGCCCTGGAGCTGCCCAGACCCCTCTTCTTTCCCAGGTGGGCGTGGTTTGCCTTTCTTCTCCCCTCCCCTTCCCTGCTGTTGGCTCCCAAACGTTTGAGGGTTTCAGAGTATTGGCAGGGTTTAGCTCAGGATGAGGCTCGAGTGGCTTTTGGGGGCTTTCCCTTCTGATATGGGCAAGGAGGTGGTTGAGCCTCATGATGCATACCCCGAGAGCTCGACCTCCATGCAGAGCAAACACTGCACCGACCAGATGAAGAAGACACTGGGGTCACCACCAACTCGGGGGCCTACCTCGACGAAACAAAGCCTGGCACAACCCTTATGGGAGGGCCAAGAGCTATCCTCCCCAAATAACCAACAAATCCAAAATAGGCACAGATAGCTTCAGCAGTCTCCATTATCCTGTCTCCACCTTGAGGTCCTCCTCCTGCTCCAGGTCTGATTTTCCTGGATATGCTGTGCTTCCACTATTAAGTTCTTATAATATTTTGTTAGTATTTATGAATTATTTTGTTAGTTTTATGAACAAATTAACAAAATGTTATGAGAGCTTAATAATCTTATGGTGTCTATCATGTCAGTAATACTTAGGCTTGCAACAGTTATATAAATCAGATTGGAGGTGCACAACACAAAAGCAAAAAAATCTATATGAAACAAGGTGTGTGGTGCCAACATGAAGCAAATGCTGCACCAAGATGTCGTCATAACAACAAACATGGACGGTTTGTATCCTCCCTCTGTCCAAAACATACCTGCATCTCACTGCTGTACTTATTCAAGTATTATTAACTAGATAAAGTTTTGGTTATTGATTCTTTAAAAATATGATGAGATTAATTTGTTCCACTTTCTAGCCTGGTTTGACGTGGGATATTCGACGCTCAATTGGGGAGGCTGCTGTCCGTGCAGCTCGTGCTGTTGGGTATGTTGGTGCTGGCACTGTGGAATTTATCCTGGACTCATCGCATAACTTCTACTTCATGGAGATGAACACCCGTCTGCAAGTGGAACACCCAATCTCCGAGATGATCACCAACACTGACCTGGTGGAGTGGCAGCTCAGAGTAAGTCAAACCTCTTGTAAAAAAGGTAGAGATTATTCATGACTTGTTCATGTTTTGTTTAATTTAGTTTTCACTTCATTTTATCTTAACCTTTTGACAGCGGCTATGGAGAAATGGTCATACCCACTTATGTGCAAAAAGATATAAAAATTCCCAAAAATAATGTTTCTCTATAGAATTATAAATTTGTATGGAAAATGTTCAAAAATATGAAAATAAGTGAATATTTAACTTTCCACTGGGTGAAGGTGGTCTTGAAGGGGGCGTGTGTGATGGCTGTGTGTGGCACCCAGCAATTTTTATGTAATTAAAAAGTAAACGGGCTGAATTGTACTCGTACGAATCTGGAAACATAATACCAGACGCACGTGTATACTTACTGTCCATTTATGCGAGACAAACGGCATGAGATAAAGTTGCCAACTTACCGCTTTGGATACGAATATTCAGAGATAATGTTCATGGCTTTAGCAGTAGTTCATTAAACAGGTATTCTTTATTTATATAATAGTATATTTTAGTATTAAATACTAGGCAGGTAAAACAACAAAACTGCCACACATAACTTTACATAATTTAGTGCTTTTTGGGGTGGTTCTAGCATTGTAAAATAGTGAGTTAGCAACTCTGCTTCTGTCTTTCAGTGGCGCTAATAAAGTTGTAAGGTCACGAGCTGTAATGCCTTACCCTATCTTGAGGTTATCTTGAGATGATTTCAGGGCTTTTTTTTTTTAGTGTCCCCACAGCCTGGTCCTCAACCAGGCCTCCACCCCCAGGAAGCAGCCGGTGACAGCTGACTAACACCCAGGAACCTATTTTACTGCTAGGTAACAGGGGCATAGGGTGAAAGAAACTCTGCCCATTGTTTCTCGCCGGCACCTGGGATCGAACCCAGGACCACAGGATCACAAGTCCAGCGTGTTGTCTGCTCGGCCGACTGGCTCCCCTAGAGTACGAACTCACGAAACCTGTCCTTTCTTTCTTATTTACAGTATAGGTACGTTACTTTAAACTAGGGATGTAGAACCAGTGAGCATTTATACACACTTCAAACACAAGAATGACCACATGGGACCGGTACCATATTTTTGCACTGGAGGGACTCCAGAAACGACCAAAGTGTGTGCATTACATTTATTTAACCACAGGAAAAGGTATAATATACACTAGGAAAATCTCACATTCCAAATTAATGAATACAGTTCTCTTCACTTAGATATAAATGGAGGTGAGTAACCTGACACCGTGAGGAGTACAGTACTTCACAAGCACACACCACACAAGCTGTGTGTGTGGAGTCTCGTCCGTCTCTCCCTCACGGAGTGCAGGAACGCTTCTCTCACGAAAATGTGCGGGATAACTTTATCACACAGAATCATACTTGTTTACTCTTACATACTCTCAAACACAAATAAAACATAAAAATTCACACACACAACAAACTGGTATTTTTGCTAAGAGAGACATTACATTAATTAACAACCACAAAAGCTAAACTTTATATGCCAGTCATTACATACCTCCCTATCTTCCTTTAAATGAAAATCTTGCTTAAATAAAGGTTAAGCGAGTTTTTCATGCTCTCACAGTGGCAAAAAAAAAAAAATACTTATGCAATTTGGGGGCCGGTCGGCCGAGCGGACAGCACGCTGGACTTGTGATCCTGTGGTCCCGGGTTCGTTCCCGGGCGCCGGTGAGAAACTGTGGGCAGAGTTTTTTTCACCCTATGCCCCTGTTACCTAGCAGTAAAATAGGTACCTGGGTGTTGGCTGTCACGGGCTGCTTCCTGGGGGTGGAGGCCTGGTCGAAGACCGGGCCGCGGGGACACTAAAGCCCCGAAATCATCTCAAGATAACCTCAAGATAACCCATCTTCTACACACACGAGAAATAATACAAACTTGGCACACTAATTACAGTGGTGCCTCAGTTAACGAAATTAATCCGTTCCGGCACCGAGCTCATGTGAAACGCTCTTCTTTCTAAATGAATTGCCCCATTTAAGGGGTTATATGACCGGAAGTATGAGAGTTGTTGTAGGGTATTCATAATTTATTATCCTGATACATGTGAAAGGTGCTGCACCTAGGCCAAGTTTCAGCATCTCGGCCTAAGTAGAGAAGGAGAAAAAAAAAAAAAAATTATACAATTTTTCAACAATGTTCAATTGCTTTCACAGCCCACAATTGTGAACCAAAATCATTTCTACGACACTCAGCTATGACCTTACTATATAATAAAGATTTGGTTGATCGATCTTTATCCCAGATGTATTTAGTGCAATAATACAGATTTTTAAAAGTTTCCCAAAAACGTATGCAACAAAATGAAGTGTATCATTATTTATAAAATCAATAAATCTACGTAGATAAGAAAAATATCAACCGTTTTAGAAGCGTAAACTCTACATATAATGTGCAAGTTTCATGTAAATTGAATAATAAATAAAGGCTGTGAAGGCAGATCTGGTTGTAAAAGTTGGAGTTGCGTAGCGCGCCTCGACAAGTTACTCTACTCGCGGTCACTCGTGACAATGCGTGATTTACGCATTGCGGCCAGCTCGTACCTTCTATGGAGAGCTCGCATGCATCTAGCTTTCAATGCTTTTCTCTTGTTCGTTTGGTAAGTCATATTGCAGTACAAATAGCAAAAATAGCATGAGTTCTGGGAGATATTGTGAGAGCGCGTCAGCGACACATCCACTCCCTAAGAGACACACAGTGACTGAGCCACGTACCACCCTCTCACACGAGACTGTTGCCAATGAGTGAGTTTATATTCATTTTATGCATAACATGTTATTTTCAACGCTATTACGAAAAATAAGACTTCTACAACGTAAGATACAATACCCCGCGGCGCACACACGCCGCGAGGACCAGATTCACGAAAGTTGCAGCGGGAAATTTGACTCTAATTACGTTATTTTTCAAGGTAGCATAAAACGGTTTGCACCACAGTGTTGCCAGAACGTTGTAGTATTTTTCGTAATTTTTCGTAAATATTCCATTTTTCTTCGGATTTTCCGGTCATATAACCCCTTAATATAATGGAAATAAAATTAATCTGTTCCACCACCGAAAAACATCAATATGATATTTGATTTGTTTTATTTTCTGGGGGGGAGCCCCTTTGGCTCCCTGGAGCTTACTAGGCTGATATTCTAATGGCATCAATCGTGTATGGAGTTCTGTGGGCCTACCGGGGACCACAAGCCAGAACCTGGCCCCCTCAGAGAGGCATGGGGAGCAATGGCCTATAGAAACCCCTGTGTGGTTGGAAGCATTCCATGTCTGCCGTCGACCAGGTTAGGCACCCAGAAATGTGAGCATCCCAAAACAAACCCCTATTCTGGTGAAAATTTTGCTACCAAAAGCCGAACAAGTGGATAGAACTCCCCTAAAAGAAACGAGCATGACGTCACACGTCGCTGCGCCGCTGTCTGCGCAGCTCCCCCCTCCCCGGGAGGGGGAAGGGGGAGCCCCAGACCCCCGCGCTGGCTATCCACCCTTAGTTCTAAGGCTGATGTGAGAGGCAGAAGTCATGTGCTCTGGCTCCTGTGATTCCAGCACTGTGCTTTGAGTGTGGTGCTGTCTTCCAGGGGGTGCGAGAGCCAGGAGTTATTCTACAGTACTGTACTCAGACTGCATACGCCTAGGGTTATCGTCCCTAGGTTCCCTGTTAGTACTGCTCTTGGGACTTGGGGCAACCTTCCACAAGTTCCTCGGGGCCTTCCTCTGCTGGGCCGGATTATTGCTCGGTTTTTTGGCTGCCCTTTGGGTGCTTGGGGGTTTTGTCTTCCTTGTTTACCTTAGGGTAAAAGGGAGTTGCACTGGTACGGGGCGCAGGGTGCTGCGCAGCTTGTTTTAACTATTCATAGCGGCCAGCTCTGTTCCTTTGGGTATGTTGTCCTCTTGCGGGGTTTTGTTTTTCTTTGTTTTTGCATTGTGGTGGGGGGGGACCTGCCTTGCTTTCCCCATTTGTGCTTGTGAACCTGAATACGGTTCTCTTCTGGTGGTGCCCCCTGCTAGGTTCCCGTGACTGTACATGTCCCTGAGATTCAGCTTTAGAAAGTTGCTTGGTAGTTTTGGGTGCCGGTTAGTAGTACCCTGCCTGGGATTTCCTGAGCGTGCGTTCCGTCTCAGGACCCTGGGAAAACCCCTAGGGGGCGCGTGGGTCTGATGGATGCGTCCCCAGAGTCCCCCCCTCGCTTCGTGCGAGTTCAAGGGTTGCTTGGTTCGCTTGTCTCAGGGTGACCCTCACTGTTTTTGCTTCCGTCATGATACCTATTGGATCAGTGACACTTTCGACCCGGAGTCTTGCAAGTTTTGTTGCTTGCTTGTGACTCAATTTACCCAAACTAATGATGATGTTCTATGGGTACGGGTGGCGCAGGCCTGCATGTGCGCTTTAGGTTGTTGCAACGTGCTAGGTTGGTTGCTCACCTGGATGCCCCGAGGCTGCCCCGTTTTGTTTATAGGGACCCGGACTCGGGGGGTGGGGGTCGCTTCGACCTTAGTTCAGTACGCACCCCATCGTCCTTTCCCTGTTGTGGTTTGTTCTGGTCTTCCACCCCCCCTTCCTACTTCCAGCCCCAAAGCGTCTGAGGGTTTTGGAGTCGGGGCAGGGTTTAGATGGTTTTGAGACTCGGGCAGTCTCGGGGGATGCGGTTTGCCTCATTGACGATGTGCTGGCCTTTTTGTGGTTTGCCCCATTGAAGGGGCACCGGCTCTTTCGCAGTTCGCCCCATTGACAGAGCAATGGGGGGAGGCTTGCGATGTTCGCTCATGCTTGGTCCCATGATTTGTGGGCGTTTTGGGTTGTTTCCTTCGGCCTGTGGTGGTGTTGGGTGGCCCCTCCACCTTTGGGATGTTTGGGGCTAGAAGGGCAGGCCTCTTTCCCCCTGCCCTCCGTCAAGTTGTCTTGAGTACTTTTGCTTGAGTGTCGTCGAAACGACGATGTCCCTCAGGTGGGTTTCCCGTCTGTTCCCAGTCCCAAAAT